ATGACCAATAGTGTTGGGCACCTTGTCACGTACTTATTGATCATCTGTGTATCTTCTTTGGAGAAATGTCCATTAAGAACTTTTGCCCATTTTGAATTAGAAGAGTTACTTATATATTCTTTGTCATATAAGAAATTTTTTTTCACTTTCTGGATGGTATCCCTTGAGTAAAAAAAAAAGTTTAATTTTTATGATGTCTAATTTATCTGTGTTTTTCATTTGTGTTTTGATGTAATCATTCAGAAACTAAGTTTACAAAGACTTACTCATATGTTTCTTTCTTTTTTTTTTTGAGCTGGAGTCTCACTCCTTCGCTCAGACTAGAGTGCAGTGGCTGCTCCCGGCCACTGCAGCCTCGACCTGCTGGGTTCCGGCGATCCTTCCACCTCAGCCTTCCAAGTAGCTGGAACTACAGGCGCGCGTTACCACACCCGGCTAATTTTTTTGATTTATTGTAGAGATGAGGTCTCGCCAAGTTGCCCAGGCGGGTCTCGAACCCACGAGTTCAAGCAATCCACTCACCTCGGCCTCCCAAAGCACGGGATTACAGGCTGAGCCACCAAGCCCGGCTCCTATGTTTTCTTTCAAGAGATTCACAGTTGTGGCTCTCACTTTAGGCTATTGATCCATTTTAAGGTTAGCTTTTGTATATGGTGTAAGGTAGGAATCTAACTTCATTTTTATGTATGTGAAGATCTAGTAGCCCTTTTGTTGAAAAAGCTGTTCCCCTTCCAATCCCAGTGAATTGCCTTAATTCTCCTGGTGAAAATAAACTGACCATAAATGTTAGGGTTTTTTTCTAGACTCTCAATTCTATTCCATGGATCTATACGTATAGCCTTATGCCAGTACTACGCTGTCTTGATGACTGCAGCTTTGTAAGTATGTTTTGAAATTGGGATATATAAGTCCTCCAACTTTGTTGTTTTTCAAGACTATTTTGGCTATTCTGTATCTCTTACATTTTCTTTTCCTTTCTTTTTAGTCACCCAGACTGGGGTGCAGTAGTACAATCATAGCCACCTGCCACTGCAGCTTTGACCTGCTGGGTTCAGGCAATCCTTTCGCCTTAGCCTTCCAAGTAGCTGGAACTACAGCGCAAGTCACCATGTCCAGCTAATTTTTTATTTATTGTAGAGACAAGGTCTTGCCATGTTACCCAGGCTGGTCTTGAACTCCTGGGCTCAGGTAATCCTCTAGCCTCTGCCTCCCAAAGGGCTGAGATTACGGGCATGAGCCATTATGCCCAACCACATTTTCATATAAATATTAGAATCAGCTTGTCAATTTCTGCATTTTTTTTCAGGCAACTGGGATTTTGTGAGGGACTGCATTGAATCTGTAGATTAATTTGGAGATCACTTCTTAAAATTTTGTTAATTTTAAAGATGTGGGGTACAATTCAGATTCACTGTTTTCTTAATACTGCCTTTCAATCCATGAACATGAGCTATCTTTCCATTTACTTAAGAGTTTTAAAATTTTCAACATTTTGTAGTTTTTGATGTTCAAATCTTACACTTCCTTTGTTAATTATATCCCTAATAATTTTATTATTTTTATGCTATTACAAATTTTTATTTATTTTAAATTATTTATTTACTGTAAATACCTTATTTATTGTAGATTAAATTTTTACACATTCCCCTGGTATCCTACAACTATGAGAAACTCATTAATAGTTGTTTTTTTAGAGGATATTTATGAATTTTCTGTAAACCAGATGATATCCCTTAGAAATAGTCTCACTCCTTCCTTTCTATTCTGGATTCCTTTTATTTATTTTTCTTATATAACTGCCCTGGCTAGAAGCACCAGTACAATGTTGAATAGAAGTGGTCAGAAAAACATCCTTCCTAATCTTCGGGGAAAAGCATCCATTCTTTCACCATTAAGTATGATGATAGTTGCTGAGTTTTCATAGATGTCCTTTATCAGGATGAAATTCCCTTCTATACCTAGTTTTTAAAATGTTTTTATATATCAAGAAAGGGGGTTGGAATTATCAAATGCTTCTCTTGCATCTCTTGGGATGATATGTGACTTTTGTTCTTTATTTCATTAATATGTTCCATTATATCAACTGATTTTCGGGTGTTAAACCAAGCTTGCATTCCTAGAGAAATCCCACTTGGTGGTCTATAATACATTTCATGTATTGCTAGATTGATTTGCTAGCATTTTGTTGAGAATTTTTACATTTGCATTCATCAGAGATATAGGTCTTAAGTTTTCATAAGATATGTTTGTCTGGTTTTGGTAGTAGAGTAACACAGAAAGAGTTGAAAAGTGTTCTCTCTTCTCACATTTTTTGGAAGAGTTTGTGGAGGACTACTATTAATTTTTCTTTAAACTTTTTGGCAGAATTCTACTGTGAAGTCATCTGGGCTTATGGGAAGTTTTTTTTAAATTACTAACTCAATCTTTTCACTGAAAAAAATCTTCTCAGACTTTTAAATATCTTTTGAGTCAGTTTTAATAGTTTGGGTCTTTCTAGGAATTTGTCCATTACCAATAGGTTGTTATTGGTATATAATTATATATGGGATTCCTTCATAACCCTTTTTATTTCTGTAATGTTGGTAGTGATGTCCCCTCTGAACAAAGAAAATTTTAAATGATCTGATATTACAGAATCTTGAAATTAATAAGATCAAAATTTAAAATATACCAGAACATTATAATTATAAATTTTTGAAAATTCTAAGTTATAGGCTATACGAACTAGATAACTTCCCATTCTCACCTCTGGAAAGAAAAAGGGGTGCAAAGACAGAACCAACAATTTTTTAATCAAAGTGCATCAGAGTCATTTCAACTGAAGTCAGAAACAAGAAACAGCTGCTAGATGAACATACCCATAGCAAGTGATACTGGTTAACAGAAACTCAAATTCTAAGCCAACTACACACACATGAACACACACAGGTGCACATTATAATAAACCCAATCCAACAAATTCCTAAGGTACTAATACAGTAAAAAAATCATGCAATAAACCCTCTCAAATAATCTTCTGAAGAGAGACCGAGTCACCCCTTCATATATTTTTTAAGTTCAAGACCATGAGTTTTCTGCTTACTACACTTCCTTAAATAATCCATGATCAACAGTCAGCTTCCTTGGAAGTGTTTATGTCTTAATAAAATATTCACAAATATATATTACATCTAATCTCCTCTTGTAATGAAATTTATGACAAGTCACCTTAAAGGAAAAACTGTATATTTTTATAGTCTATTATTTCAATGAAACTAATCTGAAAGAAGCTTTCTCCAAAGGACCCAGGGTGATTGTTATGCTGACTTTCTAAAACAAAATTCAACTACAGAACTTCAAAAATACTAAAGATGACAAGCTTTCAAGTTACATTTATACCACATCGATATATTGGGGAGAAAACTATACTTGTGTTATCACCATGTACCTGACTGGTGAGAATACTTTCATCACTTTAGCTGATTTTTATTTTAAAAAATGCTTAAAGTAATTAGGGCAGGTAATATCTTCATTATTCCATTTACAAAGGGGATAAAACTGAACTTCCCACAGGTTAAACAGTCTGTGCAAGGTCACACAGCTGACAAGTGCTGGATCTAGGACCAGGAAATTAGGTCAACCAACTTCCAATCACATTCCTTTTTCCTCTGCATGACATTCCCTCTCACTTATAAAAAAACAGGAGACAAACACTTAGAAAGCAAAGTATGTGTTAGTAAGAAAAGGAAGTTTCTGCTAACTATCCTTAAACTTTTTCATTGAAAGCATATTTCTTTTAAATGTCTATGAATCATTCTCCTTATCTAACCTGACTAAAAGCATATTTTTTACAATCTTAGACGGATATTGAATCATTAGTGTCCTGCAACCTAACTATAGACTTCACAGACATGTTAAAAAACTTTTAAGTATTAAAAAAATAAGAAACCCTTGAAAGCAATTTTGATGCCAAATTAGGCCACATGCCACTGAATGTTCTACAAAACACTGATTACAAACCCCACCATTCTAGCTCTGTAGATAGCTATTTATCAGTGATCAGAGATCATTAACACTAGTGACCATTTAACTAGTGTGCGTTTCTATATAGATAAGCAGACTGAAACATATCATCTGCCTAGGAAACAATCCTATTGCACAGTCACAGCACAAAGCATCGAAAGCATTAACAAAACATTCACCAGCAAAGGACAAAGTTCTCCTGATTCCTCTCATAAAGAAAGTATTTGCCCTTAGGACTCCTTATCTTCACTTTCTCCTGGGAGAACACAACCTATACTTAATCTAAAACATCTAAAAGAGTCAATGAGACTTTAGAGAAAACATATCCTAAGTGGTCACACGCCCAGGGGTTAAAGAGGAGATTGCTGCCATAAACCTATTCTCCAGCCTAGGGACCAATGGACTTCGGTCTCACATGCTGTTGTCCTGCTGGTATTGGTTATCATTGGGGTGGGGGTAGGTAAAAGACCTGGGGACAGGCTGGGGGAAGAGGAAGTTGATTTCAGTTCTTGTTGCTCCTCCACATCTAAACCAGTGACATACAGAATTTGAAATAACCTGCAATTTCTCTGGGAGGCTCTGAGGAAGGGAAAGAACAGTTGCCCAGCCACTGCCTTGTGACTTTGGCTGTGGCATCAACTTCTTCTCAATTCTGCCTGACCACCTGCACAAAACCAGGCTCTTTGCCCATCAGCCTGCTTCCCAAAAGACTGCAAATGAGTTATTAAAAATATACAGCATACAAACAGGTGAGTGTGTTGTGCACCCAGCTGTGACTGAAGAAAGGTGTCTGGAAGGGTCCTCCATAGCCCACGGGTCTCCTGGCATGAAAGGTGTGGCCAAACCTGAATCACTGAGTGAAGGCAAGAGTCACTTCCTGGCCATCCCCAACCCCGACAGTTCTTTAGAATTGCTGACCCATTCGGGTAACTTCAGGCCCTTATTCCAAAGCTTATCTCCAGGAGAAGGTGCACAAATAGACTAAACTTGTATCTTACCTTTTGGCTTCCTCTAGGTGGCACAGATACTCATAAGCAATGTTCTGCCGCCGCCTCTCATCCATCTCCTCGGCAGAGAGCCTTTCGTCATCCACAATGGCTAGAAAGAGAGGACAGCAACACATGACTCACAAGGGCAGTTTTCATCAACTGAACACCTGAGACAATCAACTAGAAAAAACTGAGATGCAGGTCAACACTGCACATCAGAGGCAGGGGTACTGAAACACCATACATAGTGAGAGATTTGCCTTTGGATTTTACAATATTATCTTATTTCTAATAAGAAAAGCAATACTGAAGTGTGGGTGGAAATTACTAATAGAATGAGAATAGCAATCAAATTTCGTGAATATGATGCCATAAGATTTCACCAGCGTCAGATCAATTAGGGCACGTTCTAATGGCGACAACTTTCCTGAACAAGGTTGTAGAACTAGTTCAGCAACTAAACTTGAAGGTAACATCCCCGTAGCATCCCAGAAATCCTGGGACACAACAAAGCTACAAGTACTTGCCTTTTACCAACCTTTGAGGGCATTAAGGCCTCTTATACAACCCAAAAGACAGATCAGTCCTATGAAAGGGATGCCAAAGTCCCTAAAATGTCTCCCTCACCTAATTCTTGGCCTTGCAAGGCTAACCCTTCTTGTCAACAGATAGCGGAAAGAAAAAAGCAGTGAAGACAGCAAGAGAGTCAAGTTTTCAAGTCTATGTTCTTTACTTCAACACAAGCCTAGTTTATAAACTAGGGTCACCACTCCAGCCCTGCTCTTCTGTGGAGAACACCACCTCATCATTTCCTGACAGCACTTCCTCTGCCCACAATCTCAACGGCTTCCAGGCGGCCACAGTAACTGTCACCTCAGCCAACTCTTCACTATTTACATGACAAGGCTGCTGCTTCCATGTTCCCTTATGGCTCCACTCCTTGATCAGGTGGACCTCATCTCAGATCAGCAATGCCAACAGGCATTAACAAAGACTGATATTTGTCAAAAGTATATTCTTTTTTTTAACAAACTCAATCTGATGCAAACTTTTTTTTTTTTTTTTTTTGAGTTGGAGTCTCACTATGTCGCCCAGGCTGGAGTGCAGTGGCACACTCACGGTCATTCCACCATAGACCTACTGGGCTCAGGCAATTCTGCCTCAGCCTTCCAAGTAGCCGATACTACAGGAGCATGCTGCCACGCCCAGCTAATTTTTTTTGTCTTACTGTAGAGAGATGAGGTCTCACCAAGTTGCCCAGGCTGTTCTCGATCCCATGAGTTCAGGCAATCCTCTCACCTCAACCTCCCAAAGTGCTGGGATTAAAGGCTTGAGTCACAGTGCCCAGCCTGATGTAAACTTCTAAAGAGAGCTCTTGCATTTCAGAAAAGCGCAGAGGCTCTCCAACAACCTTCCCCAGCACCCTGCTGCGAGAGCCTGGCCTTCAACACCTTTCCCCAGACTTTTGTCACAGGTCTAGTGGCCTACCCACCCGCCTCCACCCACACTCCCCACTGCCACCAGAAGCATCCTCCAAACACAGTCTTCCTGATGTTATTCCCCCTCTCTGGATCTTTGGGAGCTCCCCATCTCCCACAGAACAAACTTCTAGAACACTTTGCCTTTTCTCCCATCCATGAAGCATACACCTCTACCACCTCTTGCTGAGAGTCATGTTCCAGGATCACCCTATTCCCTCTGCTGTTGCAAGCTCCTGCTCCACACCTTGCCTCTGCCTAGAAAGTCATCTCCGGTCTTCTTTTATTTATTTATTTATCTTTGAGTCAGAGTCTCACTTTGTACCCAGGCTGGAGTGCAGTGGCACAATCATGGCTCACTGCAGCCTCAATCTCCTTATACTTGGGCAATCCTTCCATCTCAGCCTCCCCAGTAGCTGGAACTACAGTCATGTGCCATCACACTTGGCTAATTTTTTTGTTGTTGTTTATTGTTTTTGTAGAGACAAGTTCTATGTTGCCCAGGCTGGTCTCAAACTCCTGGACTCAAGCAATCCTCTTGCGTCTGCCTCCCAATGTGCTGGGATTACAGGTGTGAGTCATCACACCTGGCCATATTCTCACACCCTCTGTGTGTGACACCATTGACATTTTCTCAAACAAAATTCTGTGGATCCCTGAGTCTGCATCCATCCACACTCCTCTGCACTTCAATAGTTTACAGTTTTATTACATCACTCATCAGAAAAGGCCCCTGCTGTAAATTAGTCTGTTTTCCTCTCCAAACTGGGGAGTCCTTAGAGGAAGAGAGTCTGTTCTGATTTATTGTAACATCTACCTTGCCTTTGTCACAGCTCCTTGCACACAGATAGCACTCAACACGTGCTGAAGAATTACCTTAAATGAATCCTTACTAAGTGAGCCCATAATGAATAGACTCTGCAGTTATGATTTTCTTAACCTAGGCTTTCTTAAATGATACCTTCCACACCCACACACTAGCACCTAATCCTCCATCTCCATTGTACTGAATAGTTAATCCCCAGGACACCCATGATTTCCAATTTCTCATTTTCATTTCAGTTTAAAGACTGTTTCCCATTTCTGACATTTTCACTTTATAGTACCTTCAGAAACAACAAAACTTGAAATCAAAATAAAACTTCTGGCCAGGCACAGTGGCTCACACCTGCAACCCCAACAATTTGGGAGGTCAAGGTGAGAGGACTGCTTAAGGTCAGGAATTCAAGACCAGCCTGGGCAACATGGCAAGACCTCGTCTCCACAAAAAAAAAAAAAAAAAAATCATCTGGGCATGCATGGTGACACATACCTGTAGACTCAACTAGCTGGGAGGCTGAGATAGAAGGATCACCTGAGACCAGGAGGTCAAGGCTGTGGTGAGCTGTGATCGTGCCACTGCACTCCAGCCTGGACAACAGAGTGAGACCCTGACTCAAGGAATAAACAAACACATTTTTAAAAACTAATGAGAGCCCATATGCTTGTTCTACCAACCCCAACTTGTACAAGTATGGGCACTGGGTCACATTCAAAAGGCAGTGCTCTCCCGTCTTCCTTTTCTGCTGCTGTACCCTTCCAACCTCAATCAACCTCCGAGGAGGAAGCTGAAACCCCAACAGTGCCTGGTCCCTCAGTCTCTGCCTACAACTGCCTCCATAAACCAAGCAAGATTCCACCAGCCCAAGAGGGCTGATGATGGGCTCCCAAACTCCACTATCACCTTAACCAAATAAAACTGCTTACTTAATGTGTGAATTAAAACACATCCAAAAAGTTTTAAATTGCAACTGCAAGATACTGACCATAGCTATTGGGATTCTACCTATCTTCAAGGCTTGACCCAAGGGCTCCTCACTTCCCAAAGTGTTCCTGACTGTCTCAGTTCACAATATCCTCCCTCCTGGAACCTCCTATACTTCTGTGGTTAACAGTAAACTCCTAGAAGACCTATGTGTGTCCTCGTGGTATTCAGCACACTTCCCTGCACAGGCCACATACTCTGCAAAAATATTTGATGAACAAACAAAATCCCTTATCAGGAAAGGCTAATAAAAGGACTCCAATATATCTGTGCAGGGTAATTTATTGGCCTACTTACTTACTTACACACTGAATAAGAGTGTGATCACTAATGGAGCAAATAGAGTACCATTCCATGGACTTCACTCCACTGATGTTCAACTCATAGGCACTATGTGCCAGGCATGAATCAACGCACCAGAGATAGAGCAGGGAACAAAGACAAAAAGTGTTTGCCCTCAAGGGGCTTCCTTACACATCCCTTCCCTCCCTCCTGCCCTTCCACACACCTGGCCCAACACCCTTGCGACCAAACATGGTCAGCCTCCCCTTTTTCTTGATTTAGAGAACATCTTTCATGACCTATTGTCAAAGTGTAAGACAAGGTTAGGAGTTTGAGAGAGTCTAAAGAGCAAAAGATATTTCTGGGCCACACAGGTGGCCTGTAAATATTTCTACAATTACTCAATATTTACTAAGTAGTGACTTCTGTTAAGAACCACAGGTGTGGGTAGTAACCCTGCCATTTAAAGATCCATCAAGGAGCTAATAAAATAATTTACTTAAGTTGTGACTTTACTGCCCATAAGCACTTTTCCATATGTTATTGTGTGGTTCTCATAATCACCCTGAGAGATAGGCAATATCTCCTTCTTACAAATGAAGAAACCAAAGTCAAGGATGGGTTTGGGACTGCCCATGGCTGTTTGCTGGGTTTGGTGGCAGAGCTAGGGTTAGAACTAAGGTCTTTCAGCATCACAGCCCTTATTCTTTGCCCAGTGTCTCCTGCTGCTAAATCTAAATGATCCCAAGAAGGTACCTGTCACTGCCAAACCCAAGAAGCAAGATCATTTAAGTGGCTTCAAAATTCCTTTTATCTTACAGAAACTTGATTAACTGTGATCTCTAAAGTTCTTTATTTGCTGCCTTGAACCTTAAGAAACATGAGGACATTGTGAAAAATACAGCTTTCTGATGGATTAGCAACTCACAAAATGCCATTTGTAGTGTCAGCTGACACTGGCTACAAATGATATGTTTAAAGCAATTACACTGTATAAAAATCACATGATAGGGCTTACTCAGAGATTTGAGCAGAATCAAAGTGAGTTGGTAGAGAAGGCTTTGAAATAGAAGTGTAAGTTACAGATGGAAGGAAACTTTGGGAGCCCATTTTCCAAAGAATACCTACAAAAGGCAATACAAAATACAATCCCACTGCACTCCAGTCTGGGCTACAAAGTGAGACCCTGAGTCTGCCCAAATCCCCCCAAAATTCATTCAACAAATATTTGAGTGGCTGCTTGGTGCCAGTCCGTTCTAGGGCTGGACACAGTGATAAGTGTGACTCACAAGGTCTCTTGTGAATTTTTTATTGTAAACAACTGAAAGTTTTCCATAACTACAAAAATAGCCCAAGATCTACTTCACTCAGTAAGAGTTGACATGGTGACTGCTTAACTTGCCCTACTCTCTACCTGCTCCATACCACAGAGATACCAAAGCCATTGTATTCTTTGTTTTAAAATTCATTCAACAGGCTGGGTGTGGAGGCTCACACCTGTAATCCCAGCACTTTGGGAGTCCGAGGTGGGAGAACTGCTTGAGC